CCTTTTGTTTTTTTCGGGTGGCTTTGCCTGTTTCCTCCTCCTCCTCCTTCTCCTGCTCTTCTTTTGTCAATTACCTTTGTATCTATGGCTAAATTCCTATGCTAATTAACATCCTCACTATACAAATTTTTCATGTGGTCATACCAGCTATGTGGGAATGGAGGTAGTTTCACAATCCTCTTGAAGCCTGCTAGGTATCCCTTTTCTGGAGACCCTCATCCAGGAGTCTCTATCCTCCAGCGCCTCTTTGGCTTGCTCTCCTGACCAGCTGCAGACCTGTCCACAGGGCAGGGGACCTCCCTTCACAGTCATCCAGGAATTTCCTTCCTCTTTCTCTTCTGTTGCATCTCCTGTTTCCTGGATCTCGTGCCTTCCCCTTTCTTGATTTATACCTCATTTTGTTGGGGCGTATTCTCTAAGAATTTCTGAGAAAGGGTACATAGGCTTTAAGTATTTTGAAATCTTATATGAAAATGTCTATACTCTATGCTCATATTTAAGGGGGACCTTTGTTGGGAATATATGGAAATAATTTTGCTTCAAAAAATTTTTTTTGGTCTACTTGTTTCTAGAGCTGATGTTGGGAAGTCTACTGCTCATTTCTACTCCTCATTTCTTTGCCAGCAATGTATTTTCCTTCCTAGAAGCGTTTGTTTACCCCTAGGATGTTAAATTTCCATGATTCTGTACTTTAGTGGTAGTCTTTTTTAATTCACTATATTGTGCAACTGATGGGCCTTTGTCTGCAACTTTGTGTTCTTTAATTTCTTGTATTATTCTTTTTTTTTGAAAATGCTTTCCCTATCATTTTTTCATTTTCTTTTTCTTTTTTGTAAGTATTATCTGTCAGAAAAATAACATCCTACATTGATTCTCTGACTTTTAAAATCTTCTTATCTATCACTTAGCACATTTTTTGGTACCTATTGGTAGATCCCTTCAACTTAATTTTTTACATCTCCCGCTGAGTTTATTATATCTTTACAATAAACTTTTACAAGAAAGCACTTTTTTCTTATTATCATGGTTCCTTTTGTTTTTGTTGTTGCATTTTAATCTATTTTCAAGGATATAATCTTTTCTCTATTTCTCTGAAGATACTAATGATAATAATTATTTATTCATGGTTGTTTTTTGCTTTCTGAATTGCCTCTGCTTCCTCTAGGTTGTTTTTTATTACTGTTTCTTATATCTCCATATTTCATGTTGGTGGGTTTTCTTAAGTATCTGATGTTTCCTAGTTGTCTGTTTTTATTTAAGAATGAGGTTTCTCAACTGGTGGACCACATTTTAGGGGGTCATCAGGTGACAAGTGGGCTTTTTCACACATGGCTGTCTGGTAGTATTCAGAAGATAGGAAATATAATGCAGTGGCCAGGTCATCGAAACAGGGGTCATTAATTAGTATGGTAAAAGTTCAATGTTTTTCTCTTTGTTTATAGTGACTTTTTGTTGTCGTTACATTCTTGGACTTTAAAAATCATCAAAGGGATTGATAAGTGATTGCCTCTTTGAGGTCATTTCAGGTGCTGCCTGAAACTTGGAGCTGGGTGAAAGATTAGAACTTCAACTCACTGAGTCTGAAGAGCACATCCTCTTTGGGGATAGACACAAATAACCAGCTGGAAAAGATAAAAGGAAAGATTACTTGGGCTGAAACCGGTTTGGCTCAGTGGATAAAGCATCGGTCTGCGGACTGAAAGGTCCCAGGTTCGATTCTGGTCAAGGGCATGTAATTGGTTGCGGGCACATCCTCAGTAGAGGGTGTGCAAGAGGCAGCTGATCGGTGATTCTCTCTCATCGATGTTTCTAGCTCTCTATCCCTCTCTCTTCCTCTCTGTAAAATATCAATTATATATATATATATATATATATATATATATATATATATATATATATACACACACACACACACACACACACACACACACACACAGACTAATTAAAAAAAAAAGATTACTTGGATATTATGACTACCCACAGAATTGATATAATTGTGCCAAGCAAGATGGGACTATTAAATAGATACAAAATTCTAACGTTATATAACTTTCTATATTTGAAAGGGAGCAGCTTCTTGCAATATAACTATATGATTAACGCTGTTATTAGAAGGCTGTCTCAACCAGAAGTTTTCAGATTTTTAAAAGTATTTTATTGATTTATTTTTTTTTTTACCGAGAGGAAGAGAGAGGATAGATAGTTAGAAACATCAATGAGAGAAAAACATCAATCAGCTGCCTCCTGCACGCCCCCCACTGGGGATGTGCCCACAACCAAGGTACATGCCCTTGACCAGAATCAAAACTGGGACCCTCCCAGTCCACAGGCTGAAGCTCTATTCACTGAGCCTAACCAGTCAGGGCAGTTTTCAGATTTTTAATGAAAGATGCCAGATCTGTGCTTCCTCAATTCTAGCTGTGGCCTGCTACTCACATGCATAAAGTCCATCCCTGAATCCAAAGGTTATGCTTTTCATTCTTTGGTCTTTCCATTCATTTGTCCATCCACCACTTATTCTACCTCCAACTCTAAGAACCTTTGCTCAACAATGTAATTCTACTGATTTCCCTAGCACGGAGTAATTCATGACTTAGATTGTTCTGGGGGTTAGTCACAAACACAAGTGCCTCCCAAAGGCTAGGCATTTATAAATGAAGTCTTCCCTGTGTGTCAGCTAATAGAGAATTCTGGGGTCTGGAGTGGACTGGAGAATGGACGCTCTCCTTAATCGGCAGCCTCACCTTTGCTCTAGTCAATTGCTTTCTGGTGGGAATGCAGGGCAAGGGTCACATGTCTCCTAGTTTTTTGAGAGAAGCCAGGCTTTTTATGTGATTTTAAAAAAGTGATGGTTCAATTTTACAAAAGCACTGTCTAGGGCCAACAACAATGGGTATGTCACACTGTAGGTGGGCAGCCTCTGACATCAGTTTGCTCTTTCCGTGAGGCGAGGAGCTCCTTCAGCTTGTTGTTTCCAAATTCCAGCAGTTCATGCACTAACCAGTATGCATAGTAGGTACCTGATAAATGCTTGTCCGATTTTCTGGAACACCACATTCAAGCCGAACAAAATTATTATCTCAGCTGACTCTGTCTTCTGTAGGTGTGCAAAGAAAAGTCTTCCCCTCAAACTCATTTATGTATTGAAGCTGCCTCCTTGTTTCCAAGTCTAATGGGTCTTATGCATTTGCCTGGCAGGTGCAAGTGAGATATTAATGTGTTCTTTGTCATCTTGAACGTGCCCTCAGCCTTCCTTGCTAGAGCTACTACTAGCAGTGTAAACTCATTGCCTCAAACTCATCCTTCCACAGATACTACTCCCCAGAAATCACTTGCAATAGTAAGGCCACCAGTGGCCTTTCTGATGTTGCAATGCAGTGGTGCTAACCAGTCCTGCACATCCTCTTACCTGTGGTGAAGTAGTCTAGAGCATTTCACGCTGTTCATTATGACCTCCTTTGTTCCTTAGTCTTTGGGGCTCTGCTCTCACCTGAATTTTCCTCTTTTTCTGGACCCTCCTCAACAGGTTTCTTTTCCTGACCAATCCACCATATGCCAATTCTCTGCAGGTTTCACCCTGGGCCCTTCTCCTACCCCCTCCACAGATTCACCCTGGATGACCTTATGCTCTCCTCTGCCCCTCCCCTCATGAGTGCTGATGATGCCTAGGTCTGCCATCTCCATTCCAGACTCATCTAATCAGCTGCCTTCTGGCAGTGTCTGTCTCCATTGATACTTCAAACTCACAGTCTAGTCCAAGGCTGAGCTCATCACCCTCTGATCTGCCTCCTGCTGCTATCTTCCTGCATCCCTGTTCTTTGTGAGAGGCATGCTATCACCTAGTGGCCCACACATGAATTTCATGACTCTTTCCCACTGTAGGACTGTCCAATAAACACAAAAGGGCACCTGCTGGAAACACAAAAAATAAAAAATTAGGGAGCCAAAAAATCATTTTGAATGCATTTAAATGCTTAAAAAATATATCAAAGTAGCCATCCTAGAATAACAGAAACTTCAGGGAATTCCTTATACCTGTTTTATGGTTAGATATTACCTTTATTTTGAATGGTGTATACAGAAGGGGGGGGTAACCTTTTTCAGGGATTAGAACCATTTAAGTTCTTATTGTGGCCCTCGTCTACCTTAGCTGCCTCTCTCAAGGCCTAATTGGTTCCTGAGCCCTGTTGATGTTGCCTCACTGACAACAATTGAGCTGACTCTAATGCTGTTTGCTACCTGGATTGCTACAGCAGCTGCACAGAGCTGTGTCCTTGCTTCCTGTATGTCTCTCTCCTTCCTAAGATCTTTCCATTGCAACTTAGTAAATTCAAGGGAAGGGCTGACCAGGCCCTGCTTGCCCTCACTTGGCTTCATCTCCATGCACTAGTTCACTCCTAGTCTTCACTCTACCCTTCTCAGGCTTGTTCCACCCCCTTCCACTCCCACAGGCCCCCAGCCAAAAAAAGGGTCTGCAGGAGAAGTGAAAGAAAAGACAGAGGACTCTCAACTGGTGGTCTCCAGAAACAAAATTAACCCCTGTCCCCAGCTCTTCAAAGTTTCCAAAAGAGGCATATTCAAACACATAGAGCTAGACCTCAGCTAAGAAGTCTTCCCTCCTGTCTCTGGGATGTCTCTTGGTGATGGCTTTTGCCCATCAACTGCAGGTAGATTCGTTTCTGGCCACATGCACAAGAGGGTCATTGTCTTCTTTCTCTCAATGTTCCACTCAGTGTGAGCATCTTCCTGTCACCAGCCACGAGCCAGCCTCTCAGCTGACAGAACCCGTGTCTGCTGTAAACAGGGCCGGGAGAACGCCCTGTGCGCCTCCGGTCAGGGCTCAGCCTTGGCTAGGGAGCTCCATCCTCTCCTCTCCCCGACATTGCCCGTTCTCACCAGGGGACTGAAGTGGGGGGTGGATGGGGAGGTGGAGGAACCCGGAGGAGGGGGCTGTTTGTTTTCTTCTTTGTGTTAACAATACAACATCTGTTCCCCAGCCTGGCAGCTGGACCAAAATAAAATGATGTGAGCTTTCATTGCCCTCTGGATCAGGGGGTGGGGAGTGGGAGAAGGAAGGAGGGAGGGTGCAGCAAGGGCCAAAGTGTCCCTGAACAATAACAACAGCAACAATAATGAAAATACCTTCTACGCTGCTGGCCAGGCTGGGAATCCACAGAGCTGGGTAACTGGATATTCCAGCTGATCCACATATTGCAACGAATGCACTGAGCAGCAATCTGTGTGCCTTTGTAGAAGAATCACCCAATTAAAAGGATAGTGTTTACCGGGTAAATATCTGTTTTGGCTCATGCACTTTGATAGAAAACTCCTTTATTTACCCAAAAGTGATGCCGAGAGAGGTAAAGCGAGCTGGAGCAAAAAAGAACGTGAGAGTTGGAGAGAGCAGTGAGGGGAAAGCAGGACCCACATCCTCCTGGTTTCCCTCCCACTCCTTCCTTTGCCTGTCTTCTCTGAGGTCTCAGGTTGGCGTGCTCCTGGACTTGGTCATCGGGCCTCGTCTTTCTTCTACTTACAGTCACTCTCCATGCTTTCATCTAGTGTAATGACCATAAGTAAATGGCATCTAATTTTAGGGCCTTTCTACAAGGCCTCCTTTGAACCCTGACCTCTCACACTGTTAACTCTGCTCCAGCTTTGCCGGCTTCTGTTTCTAGGATGTGCCAGGCACATTCCCCGGCTTCTTCCTGCTGCTTTTCTCTCTGCTTCTTGCTTCTCTTTACTCTCTCATCCTTAGGCTGGTATCTGAGCATTTTGTAATCTCCTTTCTTAGTGTATTTTTCTCCACAACTCATCCCACCTAACAAGTCAGATCTGTTTAGCTCATTGCCTTCTCCCAACAATGAAGCAAGCTGCATGAGGGCAGGGATCTTTGCCTGTTTTGTAGTCACCGGGAACAGTGATTTGCACATAGAAGACACTCAATAAATATTTGATGAATGAATTAGTTGACGAGTAAATAAATAAGTAGATGGGTGGACGAGCTCTGCTGTTTGTGGCAGGATGGCTAGAATGCTAGAGGCTCATTCCACACCCTCTGAATCAATGAGAAAGTGCTAGTTGAGTGTTTGTTTTGGGTGCAAAATCTTTCCTCCCCTGGTCCAAGGAAGGCAAGGTAGACTCCTGAGGACCCGTTATGGCTCTCTGGAACAGGATTTGGGGCTGCCCCTAGTAAAGGACACAAACAAAGGCTTCCATTCCAGTTTACAGAGCCCCTCCCTCTTCATTTTACAGACTGGCTGATATTAAGGATTTCTGGGCAAAGGCAGTGGATTACAGCTATGGGGACATGGGAATATGCCAGACAGAAGAGGAGAAGGTGAAGGATGCAGGCTGTCATGTCAGGGCCTAACCCCTAACTTTGGGAGCAGACCATATAGCTCTCTCCTCTGTAACCTTCCCTGGAGCCACCGGGGCCCATGTCTTTGCTTCTTGACTCATTAGCCTTCACCCAGGGCTGAAAAAAGAAGTGCAATAATAGCAGTCATTTCCCGTGCTAATCAGAGCACCTCACATTTGCACAGTATGCTGAGAACCTCCAAGGTCATTTCTTGTGCATTATCTAAGAACCAATCACAGGCAAGGAAACGGTGCTAAGCATGAAAAGACAGCTTTAACACAGTGCAGTGAATGCTATGAAATGCTATTGTAACTAAAGCAACAGGCAGTAGGCAGATAGTGTTCCCTTTTCGCAGATTAGAAAACGGATTTAGAATTTAACTTGCTCAAGAATACCTGGGGATTAGAAGGGTGCTGGGGATTGGACTTGAGCCCAGGGGTTCTGGTGCCCAATTCAATGCTCTGACCTTTCTTTTACACTGTGTGTTATTCCCAGGTGCCTTCCTCAACATTTTCGAAGCCCACACAAATGCCCACACCACCTTGTGGCCTCCATCTACCTGGTCCGGAAGCAAGAGCAACACGATATGTGAGCTGTTTGTTTTTCTTGAAGTCTGTCTGCTAAGGTTGGAGGTAGGTCCCAGGCTCCTTTGTTAATCCATTCGAGTTCTGTCACTCATGTGGTTGTCCCAGCTCTGCACTTACTAGTGAGTGACACTGATGAGGTTATTTAACCCCTCTAAGCCTCAGGTTATTCACTTGTAGTATGGGGATAATAATAGTTCCTACATCAAAAGGTTGCTAAAGGGATTGATGAATGTGTATTGTTAAAGCGATGCCTCTATTTTCTAGGCCTGCCATAACAAAGTCCCACAGACTATGTGGCTTAAATTTTTATTGTTTAATAAATTTCTCCCAGTTCTGGAGGGCAGACGTCCAACATCAAGGTGTCAGCAGAGTTGGTTTCTTCTCAGGCCTCCCTCCTCGGTTGTAGATGGTCACTTCGTGCTTTGCCCTCATATGATCTTTCCTCTGTGCACACATGCCCCTGGTGTCTTTTTCTTTGTTCTAAGCTCTTTTTATAAGGACACCGTCACACTGGACTAGGGCTCACCCGAACGGTTTCATTTGAACTTAATCACTCCTTTCAAAGGCCCTGTCTCCAAATGCAGTCATATTCTGAGGGTATGAGGGTTAGGGTTCAACATGTAAAATGGGGGCATAATTCAACTAAAAACAAACCCCTAGAACAGTGTTTAGCACATAAATGTTAAATAAATAAATACAATCTAATGTTTTGTTTGGATCTACATTCTCAGCCTCTACTGATTGTTAGGGGCATTGAGTTCTGTGAGTTCATTGCCATGTGTGCACAATTACACTTCCTTCTCTTGTTCTAAATGCATCTCTCAAGCTTCCAGAATGGTTTCAGGTCCTAGGATGTTTACACTATTGGGTTTTGGAAGATTCTGAGTTTACTTTCTCCATTTCCTTTGTGATTTTCTAGAATTTGTGGGTATAGTTCTATGCCATTCTATCTATTTTTAGATATCCCCTCTTCAGCTTTTATCCTTTATCCATGGCATAGCCAGAAGACCTGGCGTAGGAGTCAGGCGAACTTGGTTCTAGCCTCAGTTATGCTACAAGCCAGCTTTGGGCAAGCTCCTCAGTTTTCTGAACCTGTGATTCTCTAGATCAGTGTTTCCCAAACTTTTGACATATGTGTACCCCTTCTATAATTTTTGTAACGCTGAGTATCCCTCATACTCATGAGAATGTAGAATTAGGCGCAGCTAAGCATGGTGCGGTGCATATCCCCACCAAACTCTCCCCATACCCCTGGGGGTATGCGTACCACACTTTGTGAAACACTGCTAGATGAAGACGGGGAGAATGGACACTGTAGTGATGCTTCATGTCCAGTAATCATTAAATAGAACACGGTAGTTAAGTGTATAGTCTTTGGAATCAAAACAGATGTGGGTTAACATTCCACCTCTGTCACTTTCTAGTTGACTTTGCTACTCTCTTAATCTCTGTGAGCCTCAGTTTCCCCAGCTTTAAAATGGGAATAACAGTAGTATCACCTTGCTTCATAAGGTGGCTGTGTTACCTATTTGAAATAATGCAAATAAATCTCCCTAAACACAGTCCCCTTTAGTATAAAACCTGACACATCCTAAGTGTGCAAAGCCCCTTCCTGGCTTCATTCTTTTCTCCAGTTATCGTCCCTGGTTGTGTCTTTTTAGTCAGCTAGCATCCAATACCACACACAATGTCCCTTTCAGGTAGAGTGAGAGTTTGTTGTGTTTGAAGGAAGAATAACGGTCACTGTTTTGTTTCTGGTTCATGATGTTCAGCATTTTGTTTGCTTTTTTGGCCAAAGGAGCACACTCATCTCATGCTCTCTGCTGGGTCATAAAATAGAAAAACTCATCAGCCAACAGAATAAGCTCACAATAGTGAGACTGCTCAATTAAGGCCTCTGTCATGATCAGGATATGGAAATGAGTGTCTGCAAGATTCTTCCCATTGGGTTTTATCATCATACTTTTTGTAGCCTTTTATAATAGCAAAGTGTCAACTAATTTCTTTCTTTTTAAATTTTTGTCTAACTTTCAGTGCAGTCTATAATGTATTGTAAATTAATAAATTGATAGCAACATTAACCTTGAAGCATGAAATTTATCCTATATTTCATCCACGAATAAAGAAAAATAGGAAAGGTGTACCCCCTTTCTTGACAGTAAAGGCAGATATTTAGTATAAAACTTCTCGGGTCCCATCTGAAAGGCTGAGACAATTGGTCCCTAAATATGAGTCACAGGTCTTATATCTTATAGCTCTTGAGATAGTTGCAGGAAGAGATGGTTGGTTGAAAGTGCTGGCAATAAAGTGGAGGTTCCTTAAACTAAGTGACACAGTTTCAAACAAGTGAAATAGCAATTAAGATTCATTTTGGAAGAACATTTTGATATTCTAAGTTCATTCTGCTTCAGTTGTTTTAAAAGATGAGAAACGGTAATGCAGCTAAAATGGTTTCTCTGTGTTCTTCAAACACACTTCATGTTTTGTGAAAAAGTGTAAGCTTATTGCAGCTAAAGGGATGTCAGAGACACCTGAATTTGATTACCAAATGACAGCCTGTCAAGTTTTAGAAGACAGCAGCTATGTCTCTTGGAAGTCTGCAATTTACATGGTTAAATTCTTTATTTTAACTATATCGTATATGATAGGGCTGTCCAATTCTGTGTGTTTTGTCTAGCTGTCAGGGGGTTTCAGTCTGGAAGTTGAATTGCCATTTCAGATGCAGATTGATGTAAACAAAATAAAGTGGTACATCTGGAGTCATTCTTTGGAATTAAATTTCTTTCTAAAATTACAGTTTACATTCAATATTATTTTGTATTGCTTTCAGGTAGTGATTAGATAAATATATACTTCATAAAATGACCCCTGGCTATTTCTAGTACCCATCTGGCACCATAGAGTTATTACAATATTACTGACCATATCTCATATGCTGTACTTAACATCCCTGTGACTATTTTGTAACTACCAATTTGTACTTCTTAACCCCTTCACCTTTTCACCCAGTCCCCCAACACTCTGCTTTCTGGTAACTGTCATTTTCTTCTTTGTGTCTGAGAGTTTTCTATTAATCCCACCCAGATTAGTTTGTCAACCACATCACAGTATTGTAGTCAATTAAAACCTTTATAATACCTGCTATTTTCTTCTCCTAAACAAAAGCATTTTTCTTAAGCTTTTTATTGTGAAATAATGATAGATTTTTGGGAAGTTGCAAAGGTAGTACAGAATGATCTCAAATACCCTTCCTCCAGGTTCCCCCAGAGCACATCTTACTTAACTGTAATACAATATCAAAATCAGAATCTTGACATTGGTACAGGGTGTGGGTATATGGGTATAGTTCTCCACCATTTTTTCTCTCTCTCTCTCTTTTTTTTTTTTACTTAAAAAAAATCTGAGTTCAGCTCTGGCCGGTGTTGCTCAACTGGCTAAGCATCAGTCGTCCCATGCACCGAAAGATCACCAGTTCAGTGTTATTTCTGGTCGGGGCATGCAGTTAGTATGTGGAAGAGCAGGATGAGACCGTGGGCAGGCCAGCTTGAGAGTGCACACTTCGGCCTTCTACCTGGTGCCCTGGAAGGAAGTCACTTTGCACAGCCCATACTTAAGGGCTGGGAGTTAGGTTCCACCTCCTTCAGGGTGAATTAGCTACATAAATTTTTGGGAATTCTTTGTCAGGGGAGACTTGTATTTTCATTTATTTATTTACATCACATGGACACACAGATATTTATTTTCCACCTTGGGTAATAATTTACTACTACTTTACTTAATTGCTCAAATTATTCCAGTTTTGGCCATTGGGAGCTCTGTCCGTTTGCTCCTGGGTCACTTTGACATACTCCCATGAATGTGGGTTTTTTTGTTTTGTTTTGTTTTGTTTTTTATTTTTAAGCACTTACTTTCTGACACCAAAAAATGTTTCATGCTTATGTATATTTCCTGCCCTTGCTCTAGAATCGGCCATTTCTCCAAAGAGCTTGCTCTATTTTTTAATGACACTTATCACTATTAACATTATATTATATATTTATTTGTATATTTGTTTTGTTCCTCTCTCCCCTGACTAAATTGCAAGTCCACAAGGACAGGAACTTTGCTTTATTCAATGCTGTATCCCTAGCCATAGAACAGGGCAAGCATATAGTGTATGCTCAGTCAATATTATTGAATCAGCTTCTGATCTTGGGACCAGTGGTCTTTTCTCTAATAATTTTAATTTGCCCTCCAGAAGTTCAGAGTACGCAACTCAACATTGACTTGTTTGGTTGTTGGAAGTTTTGGATATCGTAGATATTTTTCCCTAAATTTTTCTCAACACTATGATTCCGATGACTCCTGACTTGTTGATCAAATTTAAGTCTAAATTTAAGCAGTTGCTTTAAAGCTTCCTCAATTTATGTGCAAATATTTTAGAGAAGTTCTATTTTTAGAAAAAAACAATGAGACTTGCAACAGATTTCCAGATAACTGAAAACAATTTCTTTTATATCTATATTTTCTGTGCTGTGTTTGGATAACATCAGGCTCAGTTCAGCCATGTTGTACTACTGGCTTTTCTTATCTTCAGAAAATCCCTAAAGGTTCCCCTTTGGACTTACACCTTTGAGTTCTTGGGCATTTAAGACTTACCATGTCCTGTAGGTCCAGCGAGCTTTCTAGGTGGAGGGGAAGCTGCTAGAGCTTAGAAACTCACCTGGGCTGCTCTGGGACATTTATCGATGGACCCCATGACCTGGGTATCTTACCCCATTTCCCATTCTCATCCACTGCTCAAAAGTTGAGGGTCAAACTTGTAACCTTTGGTAAGTGCCTGGAATCTTGCATTTTGTATTAACTTTATTTCTGGAACCATCTTGTGCTGAACTCTCTGTGTCCTTTTTATTTGTCTCTAAGACTTCTCAGTGTACCTAGTCCTGCTTCATGTTACCTTTCAGGCAAGTCACTTCAGATCCTTTTGATGAAGGTGGGTGTACAATAGGTATGTGCATGAACAGGATAGATTGTTATCTACCCAGATGAACTCAGGTTGGCTCCTC